TTCAGACTGTTTTAGAATTGGAAGGCCTCCCAGGCTGTGTTCCCCTGAATGTTGTACAGAAATGTTAGGAGTATAACTGCTGCAGCCTCACGTGATGTTCAAGACTTGACCCGTGCCTTGTGGTCTGCCCGCTACATACGTATAGTAACATGCGTGTAGCGAGATTTATTGTGGCAAAATGTATTACACAGACTACCCTGGCAGTGTGTGAAGGTTTCACTCTTATTCCCGTCACTTTGTGCGCCTACTGTAAAGCCATTCCTGTGACAGCCTCCTGTGGCGAGGTTCTGTCCATTTCTGCAGTTGGAAAAATTGTAATCATGTACAAAATGGCCACTTTTTACATGATAAACATGGCCTTTCCTGACAGCACCTCTTGTGTCCTGCTCTAGCTGCACTACTACATGTATGTCCTACAGCAGAGAGACTGAAGAACAAAATTGGACGAATGAAGTTAATCTGTGACAGTAAGATTTAATATGCCTTTGATGTAAAGCCCTTACTGACAAGTTTTTTTTCAATCCCCTGACCCTTGTCAAGTTCTCAACTTCTGATCATTTCAACTGAAGGATCAGAATACTGATCTAAAGCTTGGTAAGCGCTTTACTCTGTGTACAGAAATAGTGTATTAAATCTTAATAAAATCGGAAGAAATTTTACAAGAAGGGAGCTTCTCAGTTGGGCCCATGTTTAACACAATTCACTGACTTTAAACTGTTGCCCCTGTTCCTAGTGTGAAATGTACACTGCAAAGCTGTAACACGTAAACTGTTTATTGTTGACTATATTTAAGACATGCATTCTACCGCACTGTTCTTGGCTTAAAGACTGTGCAATCACTGAGAGGGTTTGGGGAGGATGTGTCTGGGGCTGATACAACAGCAAAACTTTGTACATGTTGATTTAGAATATTTTGAAATGTTGAATTGCAAGGGATCATATTACGACATCCCTTTGTATCGGATTCCATGTCCACAAGTTTACCTTAATGGATTGACAGCAAACAATAAAGTAGAGACACACCTGTTCTAAGACATTGTTGTTTGAGTCCTTTGTCCTGAGTTGTTGGCTGGCAGCCAAACCAGGTTCCCAATAGCAGCCTGCAGGTAAACATGGTAAGCCAAGTGTGTATGGTCGCGTGCAAGCCTGGGGATAAGGAAGGCTGATAGGCTGGGGAAGGCTTACAAAGGGGTTTTGACTGTTATAGATAGTCTGGTGCGACATCTTGGGTTTCTTTCCTTGATTTCAAACAAGCTACCTTTAATATGCATAAGAGGCTTTTATTAAGAGCTGATGAGTTTTTTTTAGAGAGGACTCATCTTTGCATGCTTTTCCTTGAAAAGGATTGGCCTCACACAATGATATACTTATGAGGAAAGGCTATTGCATCACAGCATTCGTAGCTTTGGGAAAATGACAGCGCTGAGATGGAATTCAACCGGGATCGCCTTTGTCTTTCTCAAGAATCCTATTGCATCACAGCTTGATAAATTACACTAAAATTTAGTTACAAACTGCCATATGTTAAAAATGCTTTTGCTGCAGACTTTTTAGCTTTTGGGAGATGGAAACAATACCAGAAATAGCCATGGACTTATGTCTCACTGGGGACGAACAGGATACTGTGAATGGGAATAAAATGAAGGGAGAAGGGAGCTTCTCAGTTGGGCCTATGTTTAACACAATTCACTGACTTCAGACTGTGGAAACAGTTGCCCCTGTTCCTAGTGTGAAATGTACACTGCAAACTTGTAACACGTAAACTGTTTATCATGTGTTGACTATATTTAAGACATGCATTCTACCGCTATACCGGAATTCTTTTGATCTGCAAATGGATATGTATTCCATCCATTTTTAAGTAGCTTTTAGAAAGTTCTAGAATACTAGTAATCACACTAGAGACACTTGAGAGAGACACCTGCAAAGACCAGTCTAGATATGAAACTTTCTGAAAATTTCTGACAGACACACAAAGCCCATACGTGATCTACACTATGATCCCTCCCAGACTACACCATCTAATGTGTTGACTCTGAGAAGTTTCTGTCTTTTCAGAGTGAAGGAAAAAAAAAACTGGTGTCAATGACAAAATCCCACTTGTGAGAAGAATGGCCTGAGTACAAGGGAAAGCATGGTCACATATTTGCAAACTTCAAAGGCACATTCACAAGTGCAGGTACTTCTGGTGAAAGAGACAAATTCTTCCACAGTCCAAAAGGAAAATCTTCTCCAGGTTACGTATCCTTCTGCAAACACTCATTGAAAAAGTGGCTCCTTTGATGCAAAATGTGGTTTCTTTTGATACAAAAATGTGGTTCCTTTGATACAAAAATGTGTCTGCTTTTATACAAACATGTGGTTGCTTTGATACAACAGAAAAAGAATGACTGAAAAACCAACATATAACCACAGAAGTGGTTGCCCCAAAGCCCCCATGTGCAGTCCCAGTGCTGGCATGTTGCCAAGTGTATATCAGCAGGGAGCCAGTGGCCTTGTGTCTGCTCCTGCTGATCACAGGCCCCAGCAGTGTTTATACAGTAAATAACCTGCAAGGGACCTGGCTCTGCAGTCTGGTCTTAATAATATTCTTAAAGTTCTGAAGAAGCTAGAAAATCGAGAACTGTAAAGTTCAATGCAAACGACACCTGTTAACAGACATGTTACCTAGTTAGGCCTATTGCTACATTGTTGCCAAATACAATTTCTTTCTTGTAATGATATAAGTGGTTAGTCTCCCTTCTCACAGTAAGCTTCTGTTTGGCAAAATAGGGATAAAGGCAAGTTACTGTTTCTCTGTTGAAGCTAAGTCAGTGTTTCCCCAGGCAGTAATCAGCAGAGACATACCGCTACTTTACAGGCTTAGACTGTGGGAATAGGCTACTGAAAATTTCATCTCAAAAACTACAGATAAGATTTGCGACCATTATGAACAAAGGGCTGAACTTGACAAGACCAACAGTGGAATGAACTGTGCAACTTTAATACCCTAAAATTTTCAGCTGAATGCCATCAACTCCTTTAGGAGTAAATATGCAATTCATTTCAATGTCAAAGTTTAGTCCATTGTGTATGTCGTTAACTAACACAGATAAACTTCCATGCTAAGATTTGTACTAAAAATTACTTTGTGAGGTATTGATTGTATCAGACTGAACAGTTCCCATGTACATGTAGTAGTCGCCACTGTTGTGTGTGTAACTTGTGGCTCCTACACTAAACTTATAGGCATGTTGTAAAGCAAACATGGTGCACGGGTGAGTCATTAGTAGTTGGAAACAAAGCCTTACTCTATGGGAACAAAAATTCCAGTGCCATGCAAACATGATCTGGCCTTCCTTCCTTCCTTTACTTTGACTTCCTCTTTCTTATCTTCTTCATCTGTTAATTAACTTTTCCCCTCTATCTTGACAATTCATTAAATTCTTTTACATGAAGTTGTGTAAGAATGACTTTACAATTTAAAAACTATTAACAAGTCATCAACACAACACTGCCAGTTTGTCTGCTAGTAGTGCACTCACAAAATAAGGGTCAATTAACACAGTGTCCTCTGCATCTGGACCTTGGTGTATACAATGGGAAAAAAATTAGATGACAGGAAAAGGCCAATACCAGGAGTACATCAAACAACATCAAAACCTCTTTAGTAATGCTGCCCCAATTACTTTACTGCTCTCCCTCACAAGTGCTAATTTTCTTAGTACATGAGGTCCCCAGAAACACACTTGCCCCCTGGGAGCTCCATGAGCAGAGAGATTTCATCAGGCAGGAGAACATACCCACCCCTCCTGTAGACACTGGTGCTTTTGTAACTAAGATGACAACAGCTCAGCTGGCTGGGAGTCACGCCTCATTAACGAACTATAACTCTTCATCAACAAGTGCCTTGTGGCTGACCAGAACTGATTATTTTCAGCTGCTGATGTCATTATCCAGTAGCAGATTTATACAAAGTTAATCAAAACAAACAAAAGAATTCCCCTGGCACCAGTATGAAGTCATGGGAGCTCCAGGAGCTGTAGATTAGTGTGCAGAAAGTTGCAGTTTTTAGAACCCTATTGCAGATTTCTTTTTATCACTTCGTCAAAGACCTTCAAAGATATAGGAGACTAGTTTAGTCAGAAGGCACCAACTTTTATTTGGAACCATTTGTAAAACTCTTACAAGGTGTTTATAACAGGTTTATCAGTGCTTATGAACGACCTTGATTTTTGCTGGCAGTTGGCCTATTATAACCCTTTGTCCAAAGAACCAGGTAACTAAAACTTTTTAAAACATGCGTACAAAAGTGGGGTAAATCCGTTGTTCAGAATCAGGGTCACAGACAATGGGGAACTGATGAGCCGCATTAGGAACAAGGTCTCTATACCCAGCTGTACTCCAGACTCTGGCAAGAAGCCAGGATGTACATGATCTGCTCAACTGGAGTCTGCAATCTGGCCTTGAACTTTGCAATAAATGAGGTTAAAGTTGGTTAATGCTGGTTAAAGTTCCTGTAAAGATGTAAAGGGCAGAGCTGAAGGAATTGTTTTGGCTGTAATCATTTACATAATAATTAATGTTTTGCCAGGAAAATTATACACAAAGTCAATTATGATACTTTAATATTGAGAAAAAAAAAACACTTGGCAACTAATCCTTTTAGGGTTTCTGCCTCAAGAAGTAAGACAGAGATCCTGATCAGCAGCAGGCCAGTCTGATCCACACACTCTGACTTGAAACCTGTACCAACAAACACAAGCCCCACAACACAGGAGCTGGGCTCCAATTCTCCCAGCTCAGCAGATTCTGTGAGCTGGGGCAGACGTCATGCCTGGGGCAAATGTAAGCAACACAAGATAAGCAAACAGGCAGTAGTGTGCAGGCACTTGGCAGTGGAGCGTGCAGGCCCAGATGCTGACAAGATTTCCTGCCAGATTGTTTCTGCTCCCTGGCATCTCGCCAGGTCCTGACAGGGTGGAACAGCACTGC